GATGGATGGATGGATGGATGGATGGATGGATGGATGGATGGATGGATTATTAAAAGCATTGTCAGCATCTTGTCAGGAAGTCCTGTAGTCTCTGCACACTCGTGCAACTTTTTTATTTTTATTTATTATTTATTTCAGATCTGTGTGTTTCTTTAAAGAGAATAAATGATGATTTGCGGTGTGCGTTTGTCCTCAGACTCCAGGTCTGTTTGGGTGGTTTGTTTGTCACCTGTCTGTGTGAATCAGGAGGAGTGCTTCCCCGGAGGATCACGCTGAATGTCAGGCGCACGTGCGCACTCACAAGCATCAGCGCGCAGAAAGTGATGGAGAGGAGAGAGAGCGCGGATGTGGGTGGATGCTGGAAGGCGCGTAAAGCCTCTCCACGCGGACCCAGATGCTCAGACATGAAGCTGATTCCTGAATGAAGCGCACTCTGGACCCGGATGAGGCGGAGACCAGGATTTGTGAATGAAGCCCTGCACGTCCGCGACATAGGACACGGCTGCACGCGCAGGTTTCCACATTTGTTTAAATGGAAGGAGGCTGACAGACTGAATGTTTAGTGTCATTCAGCGAATTCAAAACGAGCCCGTGCGCAGAATGTTCCACCATGCCTTCTTCTTTGGAGACCTGGGCGCATAAAGAACCCGCCTCGGATCCGTGGCGCGCAGCCATGCGCGCGGCTTTAGGACGGTCCGCTTCTGACCCCCGCGCGTCATGCTGAATGGACCCGACCCGATGCGACTCGTCGATCCGCGGCACCTCCCGCAACTGATGTCCCTGGAGGACCATGAGCCCACCATGGAAGGGACCCTGGAGCCCCGCAACTCCACGCCGGCTGGGGGGCAGGAGGGGGCTCCGGGCCAGCAGCACCACTCCTTCCCCTGGGTGGCCACCGTGTTGGCCGGCGTCCTGATCACAACCATCGTGGTGGATGTTATCGGGAACCTGCTGGTCATCGTGTCCGTGTTCAGGAACAAGAAACTCAGGAAAGCAGGTACAGATGTTCTCCAGGTGTTCGGAAGACTGGTTGAATTATTGAAACATCCTCAGATATGCTCACTTGAGCTTTTCTGGAGAATTCATTCTGGACTTTGCCTCCTCTTGAGTTTCAGGCAGACTTCTACAAACACTCCGACCAGCTGATTGCAGCTGGAAGAGCTTTGGAAATGTGTCTTGTGAAAGTTCAAACTTCTCCTGCAGCTCTCATCTGTCTGAGTGTTTAGAGTTGAGCCGCTCGAATCGATTTGTTATAATCCCATCCTGATTATGAATCTTCAGGAACACCGCTGAGCACAAAAAGAGCAAATCATTAGGAACAATCACACACGCCAAATGAAACCAGCTCTAATTGTTATCAGTAACTCTGCAGCATGCTTCATCTGAAGTGGGAAAAAAATCCCATCATCAGGGCACCTCACCTGCTAATTGTCCATGTGACCACATCTGCATTCTGATCAGTCATTTTCATTCTTCAGAGGCTTTAATTTTTATCAAAACGAATTAACCAAATCTGCGTTTGCTGATGAATGAATCTCAGATGAGCGTGTTCGTGAAAGGTCACGCTGTGATGAAGGGAGGCTCTACGTCTTGGCACTGAGAGCTGGAATGAAAAGGCACTTGATCCAATCTGTGGCAGAGAGCAACAGGTTGCACAGCGAGCAGCATCAAGCTCGTCGTTTCTCTAAAAGTTTGAGTAAAGCTGCAGACTTTCATCCACAGACACAAAAAGCAGAGGTGTGAGTGGAAGGCTTTCGTGCAGCAGTAACACCTACACGTTCAGATTTTACCTTTTTATTATTCACAAATTCATGCATTTTCCAATTAATAAAGCGTGTGAGCTGCGCAGCTGTTGTGCGACCACATCATTAAAAAACGAAGCTCAGACAAAGCTGGCAGATGTGAAATTTCCACTTGACACTGGAAAGGTCAGGTCTCCACAGATCTGGATGCTTTTTTTCACTTAAATGCTCCGTGCAGCGGAGCAGGGGCTGAAAATCCATCTGAAATGTCAAAAAAAAAAAAAAAAAGATTTGTTGTCATCCCCAACTCATCTTAGGATCATTATGTTCCCAGCATTCTTTACGAAAAAGTTGGGACAATCAATAGGGATGCACAATATTATCGTATGGTATCGGTATCGGTATCGGCCGATGTTGGCGATAAAGTTAAATATCGGCTATGCCATCAAAATAACTCACCGATATAAAAGACTTCTGTTTAAAGTTCATTTTTAATTTCACTTGTCGCTTGTGAACAAGTTGAGTTTAAATTTGTGAAAATTTACAAATTTGCACCGTTTGAGTGTTGTCTTTGTGTTAGAGAGTAAATGTCATGAATAAATTTGACATTAAACATAATCCAAGTTGAAGTGTTACATCATTTTCAGCACCCTTTTTTTTGGTAGCAGGTCAAACTGACAAAGTTCACGCAGAATAATGTAGTATTTTAATTCAACAGCAGAGAAAGCTATGTAGTCTCTGTAAGTAACTCTTGGGGGTAAAAAAAATAAATAAAAATTGGTATTGGTATTGGTATCAGTTATCGGTTATCGGTTAACGGTTATCGGTTATCGGTTATCGGTCAAATAAGTTTTAACACATTGGCCAAAAATCCAATATCGTGCATTCCTAAAAATAACACTAAAAACATTAAAAGCGTCAAACTCTTTGCAGTTGCATCAACAGGTGTTTAAAACTGCTTCCCATATTTTTAATCTAAACATCTTGGCTTATTTTAACTTAAATTACACATCTAGGCTTTGAAAATTGAATTAAAGCTTTCAGAGCTACAAAAAAAATGGGATGAAATTAAAAACAAACTCATCAAATAGACAACGAAGAGAGACGTTGAGTATTGGCAGGCTTTTAGAGTTATGTCTGAAATACTTTAATAAATCTGCAGCTCATCACAGAATAAACTGTTAAACTTTAACTCACAGATTTTCCCTTTTGATTGACTAAAAGTTCCTAATTTCAAAGGGCTACTGCACAATATTAAAACAAGTTGCAAGATTGTTGTTTATTTAGCAAAACTGATATTATTTTGTATAAACCCACATTTTCTCTTCTGTCAGAATCATAAACCAAACATTAAGGACAGTGAGAGTCCGTTGGACTGATCAGATATCATTTCAGCAGCAGAACAAGAATGAATGGTTGAATGAATTGTTTATTGCAATTCTTTACAATATTAATTTGCAATAATAATAAATTTGTGATAAAGTTTGCAGCTCTCTCCGCTCAGCATCTAAACTTCCAGTTTCTGTCCGTAGGGCTGACACATTGTCCAGTTTTAAGACTGGGCTTAAGACTTTCCTTTTTGATCAGTCCTATAGTTAGGGCTGGCTTGTTGCGCTGCTGCAGGTTTAGACTACTAGAGGACAAAAATACCTCATTTCCTTAAATGAATTGTTAAAATTGAATAGATTTCATTTGATGCTATTTCTATCTTAACTCGTGATTCTTGACCTGCCATTGTGTATCTGTTCCTCTCAAACCCAGCCGGTCAAAGCAGATGGAGCTTGTCCTGAGTCTGGTTCTGCTAAATGTTTCTTCCTCATGATGGAGTTTTTCCTTTCCACTGTCGCCTTCATGCTCGCTCAAGATGAGAGTTCTGTGATGGAATTAAACTCAAAGCTGCTCCTCAGATAAATAATGTTAAATTATTATTTTTATATATGAATGTTTCTGTTCAGTGCCCTGAGACGACTTCTGTTGTGACTTGGCGCTTTATAAATAAACTGAATTGAAGTGAATATAAAGGAGTCTTCAAATACTAAATGTATCCAAAGACTATCTAACAAGGTTGAGTGACTCAACCTAGTTAGACGTATCTACCTGGAATATTCAGCATGCATTATGCATCCAAAGACTGTTGCCCTGAACTCCCAGAGCAGGAAGTCGAAGCCAGAAAATTGTAAATTGTTTGCCCGTTTCATGTTTTTGTCTCGCAGCATCCTCAGATATTCCTGTCCTCTCTTATCTTTTGTCCTTCCCATCATTCCTTTGTTCCTTCAGTTCCTCCATCTACCCAAGACTCCTTTCAATTCGCCTCCTGCCTTTCCATTTCCTCTCCCGACCACTGCCCTGCCTTTCTTCTTCTCTCCGTTTGATTCATGCCTTTAAGTATCTTCTGTTCACCTTTCCTCCCAGGCGTCCCATCTCCTTTGTTTTCGATGACTCTCCAACTTATTTTAACAAGTCTCCTCTTTCCTTCTCTCCCACCTCATCAGCTCACCTCACCCCTCTCATCCCTGTTTCCCGTACCTCTCCCGTCCGTCCCGTCTGACGCACTTCATCACTAAAGTGCTGCTACCCTTCATCACGTCACTTTCAGCAGAGCTGCACTGGACTGACAGCATAATCTCCACACTTCCATTCCACGTACACAAAACAACACCTGCTGAAAAAAGTCTGGCAGCAGAATTAAATCTGTAATTGTTTACATTCGAACAAAATAACTGTCAGTGCTAATTTGGAGAGCGGCGCTCGGCTCGCTGTGAAATCAGAAACAGGGAGGAGGAGGACAGCTTTGTGTTTGGAGTCGCTGGGCGCTGGCTCGCTGCCCAAACCGGTCAAATTAAAACTGGTTTTCCATGCCTGAAACTAGAGACTGCGTCCAGCTGGAAACCAGCCGGACCGCTACCATTGATGGGTCGATCAGCGGCGGAGGACAGTCCCGCCTGGACTGAGTAATCTGTAGAAGACTGGAGGTGTGATGAACTCTAAATGTCATCCAGATCCATCCATAAGCACGCATTTAAAAAGCAAATAAAACATCTGTCCCCCTCACACAGAGCCGCAATCAAAGGTTAAACTTATCAAACTGGGCTGTGTCTTTAGATTTTGTTGTTTTTCTCTGCTGTGATTCATTAAAGAAACTCTTCTAAACTGGAAATGCATGACATGTCACGTTTTGTTGATGCTAAATGTGTTTCCGCTAACGTTATTCAATTCAATTCAGTTTATTTCTATAGCGCCAGGTCACAACAGAAGTCGTCTCAGGGCACTGAACAGAAACATTCATATATAAAAGTAATAATTTAGCATTATTTATCTGAGGAGCAGCTTTGAGTTTAACTATGTCACAGACTCTCATCTTGAGCAAACACAAAGGCGACAGTGGAAAGAAAAACTCCCTCATGAGGAAGAAACCTTTAGCAGAACCAGACTCAGGACAAGCTCCATCTGCTTCGACCGGCTGGGTTTGGGATGAACAGATACACAATGGCAGGTCAAGAATCACATAAGACAGAAATAGTATCAAATGAAAACTATTCAGTTTTAACAATTCTTTTAAGGGAATGAGGTCAATTTGTCCTCTAGTAGTCTAAGTCTATAGCAACATAACAAGCCAACCCAACTATAGGATTTATCAAAAAGGAAAGTCTTAATCCCAGTCTTAAAACTGGACAATGTGTCAGCCTCACGGACAGAAACTGGAAGTTGTTCCACAAGAGAGGAGCCTGAGAACCTGATCTTCCTCCCATTCTAATTTTGGAAACTCTAGGAACCACCAGCCTGCAGTCTGAGAATGATGTGCTCTGTTAGGAAAATATGGACCAATAAGATCAGTAATATAAGATGGAGCTAGGTTGTTGAGAGCTTTGTAGGTTAGAAGTAAGATTTTTAATTCAATTCTGGACTTGACAGGGAGCCAGTGGTGAGAAGCTAAAACTGGAGAAATATTTATTCAAGCGTTAACGCAGACGATGAGACATAAAATCAATAAACCACTTCAGTAGTGGGACTTTTGTTTCTACTGGTGATAATTAATTGGATTAAAAATATGTGTTTATACAGTTTTTTTTATTATGTTTAGGAAAAGCCAAAATTTGATTTTATTTTAATAAGGTTTGGTAAGCTAATAAGCTGATCACAAGGCAACAGCTCAGTAAATTCAGGAATCTAGATGTAAAGAAAACTTTGTGAGTTCAACTGAAAAGTTGAACGGCATTAGTTGACTGAAGCTGCTCTTCTCTTGGGATTTATACGA